CCGAGACTTATGTGGACCCTTTCCTTTTTAACCGGCTCCTCCGGTGTTGCCCGCAACGCACGCGCGTGTGGCGTTGCCCTTTAACAGAACAGAAAAGGGAGAGAGACAGTACGGGGTGCCGGTGCGGTCATACCAGCTGCTGGTATCGGTGTCAGAAGCAAGGTCAATGACTCTCCCTTTCTGTCACTGTGTGAATGTCTATACTAAAGAGGTAGTTAATGGAGCAGGGCTTCATTGTTTTGTGGTGTGAATGAATTGATTCTCCGTTTGCGTGTTTTTAAACTTTTTTTTTTATGTGGGTGTTTCTTTACGATGAACGGCCGTCATTCCTCCTTCTTCTTCTTTGTGGGCTTCCTGACGTCTGGTTGGGGTGGCGGAGGCCCGCACACACACGGAGGGAGGGGAGGAAGCGACTTGCCGTACACGCGTATGTGTGCCTTTTTGTACTGGGCGGAGAACATGTGTCGAGTGTCTAACGAAAGGCGTATGTGTGGGGTAAAAGGAGTGATTTTTTTTTTTAGTGCGGGGGGATAGAGTGAGAAGGAACGTGTGTGGTGAGGAAAAAAACAACAACAACAAAACAGACGTTGGAGCTGGTAGACATATTTGTATGTTGGTACGTTGATGTGTATGGCGCACACGCAAGGGTTTGGGTTGGGGATTTCCTATGTATACAATATACACATCTAAATAGCACCATACATGTCGTGTAGGTCCAAGCCTCGGTTGCTCTGTGCAGGAAGTCTACAAGGATGGGCGTTTTTTTTTTTTAGGGGGAGGGGAGTTTATTGCTGCTGTTGGTTTCTTGATTTATATTTTTCTGCCATTTTTTTAAATATTCTTTCACTGTATATAGGCATGGCAAAATCTTTCTAATGCGTTTCTCCAATCCCCTGTCCCTTTGTGGAGGCGGATCTCTGCGCCACCCCGGCGATAGGGGGGGGGGGGGGGGTTGGCAGCAGGCAGGAGAGGAAATAATACTGAAAAAAAAAGGAAAAAAAGACAGTGAGACGATCGTAAGAGGGCGAAAAGATGCAGGCATACGTCAGAAAGTTAATGCTTAGGCTCCTCTCCGCGGGTCACGTGCAGCCACGCGGGTACAACTATGCACAAAAGGAGAATTAGGGGAACTCCGTTTTTGTTCTTTATCGCTGTGCTCGCGCGGCATCATGTGGCCACCGGGCAACACGTGCCTGTTGGTGTGAAGGCTGCTGAGTATTGTTAAACCGAGTGGGGCTGTGGGGGTGTCTTGACCACGACGTCTGATGCCTCGTTGCCCATTCAGGGGGGAATATTTATTTATTGAGTGGCAAAGGCATCAAACGGGGGGAGAGACAATAGAAAAAAGCCGCTTTTCGCTCTGCTTCAAAAAAAAAAAAGTGGGAAAGAAATGATAGCACAACGTGTTTCTATTTTTTTTCTTCCTCTTTTCCTTTATTTCCCTCTCTCCCTCTCGTCTTTGCGGTAACATGTATATTAGACACGCACGCGGGAGCCGGGGTGGCGCGCGACAACGTGCCTTGTTGGGGAGCAAGTGGCTGTTGTTGCCTCCGCCTTCGTCGCCCACCAAACGACTGGTTTTTCTGGCATGCCTGTCGGTGTTTCATCATTTTATGATGAAGTCGTGTCTTCTCTGGGTGCTCATTTACCGCCGTTTTGTTTTTCCTCTTTTGTTTGTCGACTGTGGGACTCATGTCGCCGACCCACTGAGTAAATGCGACACCCCTCCTGCTTTCTCTCTCTCTCTCTTTCACGCACGCACATTTTTTGTTTTGTTCTCTTACTCGCAGCGACGCCCACGCGCTTCACTGCAGCTTCACTGTACTTCCGCGCGGCACACTGTCAAAACGGCTAGCGAAAGGCACAGTGGAGCGAGAGAAAGATGTTCATTTGAGTGGGTCACCGCGCAGGCGGCATCGAGCCCTCACCCCACGCTGCCGAAGTGCAGTGTCCACACACCCTTCAACGGAGCGGAAGGAAAAGGTCATCCGTCGAAAAACAACGAGACAAAAAAAAAACGTCATGGAAATAATGACGAGCTTCAGTGTCTTTTTTTTTTTTTTCTAAGACAACTGCGATTGCTTCGGTTTGTATCTGTGAAGAATGTTGGCGCGTCAGGGATGGCTCAGTGGCGTTAATTGCAGTACTTCTCTTTCAATCGTACGAAAGGGAAGAGTCGCAAAGTTATTTGTTTTGATTGGGGAGGGAGGCTGTTTTTTTTTATGTTGATTCCTGCTTATTGGAGTAGTGGGACGTGACGCTCGCACGCAGTCGTCGCCGCTAAGGCGTCTACGCACAGAATGAAGGTGCCATGCGTGTCTTGCATGACGTGTCTGCTGTCTGGATGCAGGGGACCTTGCTGCAATGTATAAATGTTGGTATATGTAGCCCTGGGTGCCTATGTATGTGTCTTTTTGCAGTGTGCATGCGTGCGTGCCACAAACTTGTACGCCCACCCGCACCTTTGATTCACTCCCTACCATGTGTGGCAACAAATGCTGCCCATCACTTGTGTACGTCATTTTAGTGCGTGAAGTGTCAGTGGGAAAGGGCAGCGATTGTTTTGTTCGTTTGTCTGCTTTCCATGCAGGGAGGGTTGTGGCACGCCTCGTTGGTACCGCCCGCCTTGCAGCATTGTTGGTAAGCGGTATATATATATAATATATATATGGGAAGAGAGGGAGAAGGATTGGAAATAAGAAGGAAACGAAAGGTGGATATGGCTAATTTTTTTTATTTTCTTTGTTTTTCTTTTTTTCTTTGTTTTCTTTATGTGGGAGAGGGGTGGTACACGCGCCTCTGACGTGCAGCACTCTGTGAGCAAGGTGCCTGCTTATTCCTTTTTTTTCCGTTTTTTCTAGAAAGCGCGTGTGTCGCGTGGGGGTGGCAGCAGTCGAAGGAGAAAAACGAGGCAACCAAACAATAGAGAAGAGTAGGCGGAAGGGTGTGTGCAGGGTGAAGGGTTACTCCAGAGGGGCGCAGTCGTAGCACCTCCGCGATTGAAGGAAGAAAACAGAATATATATATATATATATATATATATATATGGAGAAGATGCGGGGAACCGGCGCGGTGGGGGAGGGTGGCGCCATGGCATACACCTTCCAGCATCCACCGCAGACTTTTGTTCGTCCACAGTACCGGGACCCGAATGGATCTCGCGGGCGCAAGCAGTACGCGAATATCATGCACGACCGCCGCGTGTACAGAGGAAGCACCTATGCGGCCACACCAATGTCCACATATGCCGTGGAAGAGCAGGCACGGGAAGAACGCGAACTCCTGCGGCGCAAAAAGGAGATGGCGCAGCGTGCCGCGTCTATTAAACGACGCAAGGAATTGGATACTGCCCGAAAGAAACTTGCAACACCCCCACCTGTAGCCGGTCGACAGCACATAGAAGTGCAGACAGAGGAGTTTCTAGAGGAGCTAAAGGACGAGGTGGAGGCGGTACCGCAGGAGACGCAGACGGACCCTATGCTGGACCGTCCAGCAACCCCCAAGTATGTGCCCGTCAAATCTGGACGTGACGCTGAGTCACAAATCAACGAGGGTGACTTGTTCCACTTCGATGACGCAGTGGACCCTATACTTGACGTGATGGTCGGCAAGACACTGGAGCAGGCGATGCTGGAAGTACTTCAGGAAGAAGAGCTTGAGTTGTTGCGACAGCAGCAATTGGAGTTTGAGCAGCGGCGCAAGGAGGAGCTTCTAGAGGCGCAGCGTCTTGAGGCTCGCGAGAAGCGGTTATTTGAAGAAAAGGAGCGTCGTAAGAAGCAGGAGATTGAGCGCATCAAGCGCGAAAAGGAGACGCGTGAAAAGCTCCAGGCCAGGCAGTTTGCCAAGGTTTACCTGATGAACCTTGAAAACCGTGTATTTGCACGCTTGCAGGATGAGGGGTGGTTCTGCGATCGCGTGCTGCACGAAGTGGAGTTTGACTTCTTCCCGTGGCTAATGGAGGAGGTAGAGCAGGTACTGGCGAAGAAGCGACGGGCCCGAGTTCTGGTGGACGATCTCATTCGACAGGTAGTTGCCATGCAGCTGGAGAGCTGAGCAGCAGAAGCGGCAAGGAACCTAACAAAAAGGAGGTGAAGAAGAGGAGGCAACGACAGACAGCCGCAGTGACTAGAAGAAGCAGAAGTGGGAAGTGAAGAAGAAGAAGGGGCGAGGAATGTGCGTGATTCTGTGCCCCGGTTTGTATTCATATATATATATATAAATATATATATAAATATATATATATATAGAGAGAGAGGGAGCAATATAAGTTGATGTGGGGAGTTCGGTTTAATTAGCCGTTTCTTTATTTCTGTTCTCCCCCACCCCCTTTCGTTTTGTGTGCTTCCGTTGCTCTCTTTCATTATTACTATTATTGGTTTTGGTTTGCTTCTTTAATCTTCCATGGCGCTGCTCTCACCACATGTAAGGAGACTTTATGTACCACAGTGTTTTTTTTTCTTCTCGTATGCTTTATTTCTTTGGGTATCCCCTTCTTGTACGCGATATATATATATATATATTATAGGAGTGTGATTGTATGTGCTGCACGTTGCCGGTCTTTCGTTTCTTGTCGCCCACAGTGGCACCGGCGTAGAAGGGGAGATTGAGGGGCATCGTGTCATCAGCGTTCACCACGCATCTGCACACCGTACTACTATGCGCGTTTTTACGTTTCATTCTTTTTTTTTTTAAGGAAACGAGAAAAAAAAACGTGTATGATGTCCCACGTTGGCTTATGGTTGTTGTTTATTATTGCTTTTTTTTACACTTCTTTTTTCTTCTTGTTGTTGACACATTAGTGCTGAAGTGTAGTGGTGAATTTAGGCAACGGCGGGACCCAGCACGAGTGCCGCGTGCTTCAAGCCGATTTTTTGTGCTGCTGCTGCTGCTGCTGCTTCTTACCTGGGAGCCCTAACTAGGAGTTGTTTGGCGTATGGCGTACTTGAGTGACCGATCCTCGTCCACCAACTCCTCCTCCTCGCTGTTGTACCGTCGTGCGGAGGAGGGGGAAGTGGAGGCCCTCGCCCCGCATTTTGAGCTCACCACGATTGGGCATGAGCTGGAGGAGTCCATTATTTCCATGGACTCCCAGTGCAACGTCATGGCACTGCTAGGGGAAAAAGGCAGACTGGTGGTGCGAGACATGGAACAGGATGTCACACCTCTGACGGCCGTCATCCGCAATCCGTACCGGGTGTTTCTTGACCCCACAGGCGCCCACACACTTGTCGCTGCAACGGATGGGGAGATGCATTACTTTTCCTCGCGACAACGCAAGGTGTCGGGTCATTTTCAACTGCAGCATCGCAGTGGGACCTGGGACGGAGCAACGACGGCACCCCCACCGCCGCTTCTGACGACCAGCAACAATGTTGCTGAGTGTGTCTGCTGGCTGCCTGTTGCGAGGACGGAGGAGACAAACCAAACAGCAATGAAATTGCATTGCCTCGTTGGCACCAAACTTGGGGGGTTTGTTTTTGAAGTGAAGATCGAGGTGAGTGGAGATGGTGGGGTTAAGCCTGCATGTCGGCAATGCTTGCAACTTCCTGCATGTGGCTTTCAAAGCCCTGTGGCCTCCATTGAAGTTGAACAGGTGAATGGTCTCTGGCTGATTTTTTTTGCAACAGCTACAATGTTGTACCGTGCGGAGGGCGAGGCGTATTGCCCGACGGATCTTATTGATAAGGTGGCTAAGGATCCCACTTTATTACATATCCGTGAGTCTAACGACACCTCTGACCTCTCAGCCCGCGGGACTGTTGTGTTGTACCGGCCCGGCACAGGTATGCCGGCACAGTCCTACGCATGGACCAGTACAACAGGTGTTGTTCATGGACTAATGAACCGTTGTATCGATCACGATCTCTCTAGCAGTGAGATGGCAATCTTTGGATGGAGTGGTGCGTCCGCGGTGGTGAACGAGCAACTTCTTGCACTGACGAAGGTAAGACAGTCCACGCATGACGCGGGGACCTCTGCTGCTTCCCCCTCCTCCTCAAGTAGCCATGCGCTTCCGCAGACGAGAATGCCGATGGAAGTGGCACTGACAGCGTTTCATATGATACTGCTCTACAACGATCGTATTGTTGTATTAAATCACCCTCCAGGGCTCACCTGGAGAGCCGCATCCTCGACATTACTCGGGGATGCACCGTACGCCTGCGAGATTGAGGAACGCATACGATTTGATTCTTTTCACGCTTCAAGGAAACCTCCAGAGTTGCGTGGAATTGTGCGAGACACGGCGGCACGCAAGATTTACATTTTTGGGAAAAATCTTTTGTGGGAGCTTCAGGTGGAACAGGAGCATCGGCAGCAGTGGTGGGTGTTTCTTCATCGAGCCATGAATCGCAGCGAGTCTCTCCCGTTGCGAAAACGTTTTTTTCAGGCTGCCTATAACCTTTGCAAATATCGGTCGTCCAACAAAAATATTGTTCAGCTGCTTCGGGGAAAGTTTCTGCTTCAGATTGGGGCGGTGCAATACGCCACGGATTTTTTGGCCGACTGCGACCGCTTTGAGGACATCTATGATCTTTTGGTTTCCCTGCGCAACAGCAAGGTTCTGCGGCTGTACGTGGAGAAGCGTTACAAGCTGTTGGTCAAGTATGCCGTGAATAGCGCTGTGATGGAAACCCAACTGGCCTGCCTGCTCATCCTCATTCTGATGCAGCGACTGAATGGCATTACACAAAGTGAGGCGAGTGAGAAAACTAGCGTTGCCGCCATTACGAGTCTAAACGCAATTCTTAAACAAACCATAAAAGAAAGACCGAGGTTGTTTGAACGCAGTTCATACAGTGAACTTGTTGCCAGGCTGTTGGAGGGACAAGGGCGGACTGAACTTGCCTTTGGCTTTGCGGCAAGGCTTAAAAAGATTCACTACCTCGTGACCCACCACATCTCGTACGGAGAGTACACGCAGGCAGCGGATGTGCTTGCAATGTTCGCACGTCGCCCCGACACTCTTGAAATGTGGTATCAGTTTGCGCCGCTTCTCATTAAAAAATGCCCGATACGACTTACCACAGCTATGCTTCGCGTCGTGGCCCACGACCCGCAGGGCGGCACTTACATGCTACTACAACTGGAGCGACTCATTCCAGTGTTTATTCAGTACTCCCCGCAGATGAACGAGGACCCATGTAATGGCGAACATCAAGTCATCAGTTTCTTGGAGCATTGCATCACAAAATTTGACTGTGTCTCAACGGTTGTGCATGACTACTATCTGAGTCTTTTGGCGCACAACGATGGAGAGCGACTTGAGGAGTTTCTTGAGTCATCCCTCTTCTACAGTGTTGATTTTGCCCTGCGACGCTGCCTGGAGGCTCGCAGATACCGGCAATGCGTTGGGCTTTATCGCCGGTTACATCTTTACGAAGATGCCATACGTACAGCCTTGGAATGTTCTGAGCCGACACATGGCGAGGATAAAGAGTGGCCTGCTCTGCGTGTTGCTAAGGATCTACTTCGATCGCTTCCCGAGCCCTTGGAAGCCTCGAAGGAAAAGAAGCTCTGGCTTATTGTGGCACAGTCTGCGTTAGAGAAGGGTAATCCTCGTATGGCGCTTAGTGTTGTGGAGGATTCTGGTGATGTACTGAAGCTTGAAGACATTCTGGGTGATATCAGTGATAGCCTTGTTTTGCAGGAGTTTAAGGAACCTATATGTAAGAGCCTAGACGCGTACGCCTCCTCTATTGCCGCGTTGAGGGATCAGCAGCTGGAGGCAACACAACAGTCCGAAAGCCTAAAGCAAGAAATTGCAGAACTACAGTGTCGCTTTGGATACATCCCAGCGCGGCAACGGTGTATGTTGTGTGATCAGCTTCTTTTACGAGGATCCACACCATACTTGATTTATCCTAATTGCCAGCATGCATTACATGAGGCCTGTGCCGTGTCAAAGCTGGAGAAGATTGGCGGGCTAGAGGCTTTTTTTGCAGATGAAGGATTGCCGAGACAGTTTCTTGAGGGCGTGACATCTACAAAGGAATTGGCACAAATGGAATGTGTTCTATGCGGTGAGGCGTCGATTCTTGAAATGGAAACCCCGCTCTTTGTTGAGGATGACTCCTGGTCTGTGGCGTAGCAACAGGCGATTCCCCTTCCTTACGCCACACTGACGCTGGAAAAGGATGCATCTGACTTCTCTCCCCACCGTGATTTTGGTCGTGGCGTCCTAGCCAGACCCAAACATGCTGACACATACACACACACACACAAGTGCGGAGATAACGTTGGATGCTTTTAATTTTTCTCAAGCCGCTGCGTCACTGCTCCTCATTCTTCTTGTTGTTGCGTTTGCTTTTGTTTTTTTGGTTGGTGGTGCGTCTCGTGTTTCCGCAGAAGATGTATGTGTTCTTGTTGCTGATGGGCGCTCGTTTTGTTGCTGTTGTTGTTTTTTTTAAACCTTTTTTTTTTATATTTGTATTATTTATTACTTCTTCTCCCTTTTACCAGCATTGCTTTTGTATTATTATTATTATTTGTCTGTGTATGGGGTAGGTGGAGGTGTTATCGCTAATTTTCGTAGCGTAGTAGTCGGGATGAAGTTTTGGGTTAAGGCCATCACCGACCATAATGTTCAAGAACAGCTTCTTGTGAAGGCGAGTAATTCGCTGGAGCTTATGATGGAGCTTGGCAGACTTCTCAACACCCACGTCACGTGGATGTCGGTCTCCGATTTTCAGACTCAGGTGGTGGAGAAGCTCAACAATGGGGCTGAAATTCTTACAGTGAAAGTCGTCACGTCAAAAATGGCGGGGCAGCTATGCGATGGGGAGACTAGTTTCACAGGCATCGAGCCGTACATACAGCACCCAGCACCAGCCCAGGCGGAGCATTCGCAAGTGTCATGCAAAGAGGATGAAGACTGGCCATTTTCGTTGCGGAGTCCATGTGTTTCGGAGAGGAGAGCAAATGCTCGCCCCTCCACGGCATGTCAGTCACTGCTTATAACCCCGCCAGTGGATCAGATTTGTCTTACTCGCAACGACCTTGAGCTGATCCTACACTCTTTACACGCTGGAGCCTACGCTGATGTAGTCTCTGGATGCTTTGTTCGTATTCGTGAGAGGAAAGAGTACGCCCTGTATCAAATTATACGTATATCCAATAGTGTAAACTTGTTACTGGATATGATTCACTACGAGGAAGTACGTCCATTGGAGGCGGTGAGTAATGCCCCTCCGGTGACTAAGGAAGTGAACACGTGGAGTAAGAAGATGATATCAGCGTCTAGGCCCTTCATGGCCCCAGGGTTTGTTGAGGCTAAGTTGGGCGATCTTGATTCGCTGCTGCGAGCTGCGCGAACCGCGCTGCAGGATCAAGTCGTTCAGACAGGCACCTTTACTTCTCCGACTCCCCCTGCCGTTGGTAGAGACCCGCAAGGACGACGAAGACACCTAAGTCTGTTTGCGCGTTCCCGCATGTATCCGTACTTCTCTCTCGGGCGACTTGTTCTTAAGATCAATGATGTTCTTTTGCATGCGCAGATTCATATTATTGAGGAACCTGAAGCTGACAGCTTTGATTTTGTTCTCTTTGCGACCCGGCACAGCAACAGTGGGAGTGAAAAAGTCCGTCTCTCAGATTTTGCTGGTTGTATGATTGAGCTAAACAAAGGCGGCGAGTCACCAGTGATGGTGAGTGACCGGGACATGACAGTCAAGGGGTATGAGGTGTTTTGTGCTCCGCAGAAGTGGGATTGTCAGTATGTGGCGTTAGGGCGAATTCAACCATCCTTCGACAATGTTCCCTACTTTGATGAGAGTAAAAAATACGTCCAGAAATTTACGGTACTCACTGGAAGGTTTTTAACGGGCTTATTTAACCTCCCGACGAGCACGGCGCTTCCCATTCCAACATGGGCGCAGACGGAGGGGGTTTCCGCGCGCATTATACGTCCTCACCTTGTGGTGCATAGAGAGCAGTTACATGTGTTTTACCTTGTTCGCATTGTGGCTTCGCATCCGCCGCTCAGTTCCAACTCGTCTCGAGTGTGGGGAGGCAGTTTATTGGGCGGGGTTAACGTGAGTGGAGATGGTGCCTCCATTGGAAACGGTTCCGGGGACGATAAGAATGCGGCAGATGCTGCCACAACCTCCATCGGTAATGTTTCATACGAGGGCAGTTTTGCCGAAAATTCCGTAGCTGGAGTTTGCCGCTACGGCCTCGCTCATGCGGTCTCCACAGATCCAAAGCTGCGTACATGGAAGTTGCTAACCGAAAAGGAGCCCCTATTTCCATATTCTCATTTTATGCCCGTCTTCACTGCAGCCTCTATCTCCCCGTTCCCTGTAGTACGTGATTCTGAGGATGTCGCTTCTACACCGTTGAAGACTGGGGAGAAGGTGCTTCAACTTCTTTGGCACGAGGAGGACTTTGCCTCGCGGCAAGCGGCAGCCTCCACGCATCGTTATTCCCGTAATTTTTTGTCGTTGAGTCCTAACAATAGTAATCGTGTTCTTTTACCCTTTGAACACTTAGTAAACACTCACGAGGAGGCGTTGCCGGAGCATTGGGTGCAAGAGCCGTGCTACTCTTCCATGCGCACGGATGTGGATTCCCTCAGGGTTGGCGTTGCCTCGCTTTCCTTGTGTGAGCACGACGGTGCCACGTTTGCGGCCTGTGTGCAACAAGATGTCCATCAAAATTCCACACTAACGGTGCTGCCCGTGATGAATGGGTCATAACTTGTAGTTCAATATGTGGGCTCGATGTTTTTTGTATTATTGTTTCACTTTTCTGTATTATTCTACACCTATGCATCTGTGGGTGGAGAAATAGAAAGCGGTGAATGGTTTGTTGTTTGTGTATTGATGATGATGATGATGATTTTTTTTTTTTTTGCTTCTGCACTCCTAAACCAATATTCCTTTGTTCTGCTTTTTTTTTCGCACGGTTTTTTTTTTTTTCCCCTCCCCTCTTTTTCGTTCTCTCCCTCCACACAATTCACTATTTACGCTGGTAATGTGAACATGCAGGGGAGCTTCCCCTCCGCATCCGCTTCTACAGCAGGACTGGTTTTGTGGCAAACTTGCATGTTTTTTTTTTTCCACACCAAATGTACGCTGGTGTGTTTTTATTATTATTCTCCACTTTTCCTTTACCGTAGGTGTGTGGGTGTGTGTGGACAGGCCTTTCGCACACACGCCCTGAGCGTGGCACCTAAACGGAATATGTGCGTGTGTGTTTGATTACCGGCAATGTTGTTTTACTTTTTTGTATTCATTTTTGGATACCTTTGCGGGGTTAGTGTTCGGTGGCAGTTTCTTTCATGGCCGGTGGGTGGGGGTGTTGTGGTGGCTTTCCGTTCCCGCATTGCCTTCTGCGGCAGCGGCAGGGTGAAAGCTGGAGGAGTGGCACTTCTCGGCCGAGTCTTTCGCACACCGTTTGGGCTGGCACCGTACCCTTCACAGGAATCTGCGAGATGGAGCAAAACGACGTTTCCCTCCATGTAGCGAAACTGTGAGGGGTGCTACTGAAAAGAGGACATGAGCGGGGGGAGGGGGGGGGTACGGGGATGGGGATGGGGACGGACTGTAAGCATCCGCCGCAACAATAGATTTCTTGACTACTCGTGTTTGTCAGTAGTGTGCTATCTTGTGGATTTGTGTTACCATTGGCGTCTTCCTCGCTGGGGGAGGGGTATATATATATATATACTGTGTTTTTCCTTTACTGTAGTCCCTCTCTCTCACATGGGGAGCCAGGGACACGGTTCCACACTTCCACTCTGTGGGGACGAAGGTGTGGTCCAACGGTGGCTGCTGTGCGGGACGTCGAATTGCGCTGAGAAGACAATAAGTAAAAGAAAGAAAAGGAAAAGACAAAGCATTCCGCAACCATGCAGGGTTTTGGTTTTTGCTAACGTATCTGCTTGTTTTTACTGTTTTACTTCATGTGTGCGTGTTTGTTTGTTTGTTTTTTTTTATAGTGCATCCCCGTCTTGTTTCTGTCCAGATGGTGGATGGGGCTCCCAGCGAGCCGGCCGCTGGAGATGACATGTGTGGCATCTGCTTCACAAGGCTTCATCCCTCCGATAACCCACGCGGCCGGTTAAACTCCTGCAGTCACGTTTTTTGTGCCTACTGCATCAAGGAGTGGGCGAAGAGCACAAATGTTTGTCCTCACTGCAAGGCCCGGTTTACTCGCATCTTCACCGTGGATGCGGCAGGTGCAGAGGAGACCACGAAGGTGCGGCGGCGAAACTACAAACTCTGGGAGGAGGAAGAAGAAGAAGAGGGGGAGGGAGATGAAAGTGAAAGTAATGGTAATGGAAGTAGTGCGTCGGTGACTAGCTGGCCTGTGTGCGATGTGTGCGGTCAGAGTGACAATGCGATTCGAATGATTCTTTGTGATCGTCGGCAATGCTCAAATACGGTCCACCTCGATTGTGTAAACCTCGTAGAGCGGCCAGAGGAGTATTTTTGCCCCCAATGCACGCTTATTCGTGCACCGGCTCCAGCTGCCGTCGCGTCCTCTTCCACCTCTTCGGCACCGTTCTTGCCACTGACGGCCGTCGCCAATGAACCTCCATTGCCTGAGGCTAATGACACGGATAGTGTAACTCGAGTTGCATCCCACCCAGCATCGGCCCCTCCGTCCCAAACAAGCGCAAAAAAAGTTTACGTCGCCCCACCCGCCTGGCTGCAAGCAGCAGTTGAGCGCAGCCCTAGACTGCATGCAGGAACACCCCAACGTGTACCTGCGGAAACACGGACGTCAAAAATTAGTTGCACGCTGCAAACAAGCGATGTCTCCTACGAGGCAGGAGGGGATGGGAGACTATCGCCGCCGTTACCGGGTGAAGATGACGTGTTGCACCGTTCCGCAGAGGCTGCATTGCAGCTATTTCTGCAACGACAAGCACACCAGGAACATCATACACGTCTTCGTCAGCAACGCCAAGCTGGGGATCCTTTGTATGACCCGGTTTTGCTTGGGTCCACCGAAGAGCGACATAAACGGTCTCGTGGTAGTGCTAACCTGCCTTGGGACCGTGCTGGGATTCTTGATGTCTTAAACCCTGAGTCGCGACGCCGCGAGGAAGAAGCTCTTGCGCGTCGCCTGGCCCTGGAGCTGCTTCCTATTCTTCGCCGAAATAGGCTTGTACAGGAAAATCAGCTGTCGCTGGGCGATAATGGGAACATTGTGGTTGTGTCGTTGCCTTCAGAGGCTGAGAGGGCAAAACGTGAGCACGACCTTTACACCCAAGCTATGACGGAGGGCAGACGTATGGCCCGAGCACGCATAGAGGCCAAACTAGCCGATGCCCGTCTGAGAAAGGAGCGTCTTCTTAAAGTGCAAGCGCAGCGAGAATCCGCTGCCTTAGCGAAGTTGGCGAGAATTGTTGCCTCTCGCCGGGCCAAGCTGAGGCTGAGGTGAAGTGCGTGGAGGATGGGGGAAGAATGTGTGCGGGCACAGTCTTGCGTTCTGTCTTTGTGTTGTTTTTCTCTCCAGAGGCGTAGGTGTTCCTGTGGGTATGATGTCTTCGCGCGGGTGTGAGAGGTTTTGCGACTGCGGGAATGATATTTGAATGCAATGCACCTACGACAAGAAATATTTTGATTTACGTCACCAAGGCCGATTTTCATCCTTGATACTTTTTCTTGTCAACACGCACACACTTTATTTCTCATTCTCTCTCATCGTTTCACAATCGTCACGAGTCATTTGCAGGGTAACTCTGCTCTTTAGGTATCCACAGTGTTTGACAAGGAGAGAGTGGAAGGCGCGGTGAGACGGAGCGGATCAGTTGTGACAGAATTCAATGGCGGACGGTGTTCTTGCTCATGAGGAGGTACTGCGACACGTATACTCCTTTTTGCAGGCATACGGCTACAAGAATGCCTTGCTTGCGCTCCAGAACGAGTCACGCGTGCCATTTAACATCATAGACGTTGTGGATGCAAAGGAGCACACGGATAAAAGGAGTTCCGTGACGCCTACAAGCCCTGCCGGACTAGAGCGCGCGGTTCTTGACGGGCAGTGGGACACGGTGCTTGCCAAATACGTACATTCGCTGCTGCTCCCCATGGAAGTGTTGTTTGACCTGTACGAACACATCTTTGAGGAGCTGTTGATGCTGCATGGCTTTGTGCATGCGGCGAGGGCTTTTTTCCACAATTCACCCATTTTTGTGGCCATGAAACACTCTTCTGCGGCTCGGTATGCGCGGTTGCAGCAGGCGTTGGACGTCAAAAATAAGAGCTTTGTAGATGATATGAATACGCCTGGGAGTGGTCTAGTACCTGTGGAGGTAAAGGCTAAGCGGGAGGCGTTGTTGCGGACGTTGCAGGAAGTCATCACGTGGAACTCAGAGCCGTACAACGGCTTTTTACCCGCCGCGTTATGGCGGTTGCTGAACGACGGGGATGGCAATCGTGATGGTGCCAAAACAAACTCGCTAAAGCGACAGCGCACAAATGATTTTGCTGCACCATCGAATCTGCCTCCCGCCATGTTTCTGCACTACCCACTTCAGTGTCCCAAGATAATTCGACGTAAAATCGTCTTTGACAACGCTGAAAAACCCATCTCATGTGTGCAGACTATGCTTCCAACTGCAGACACTAACGGAGACCCGTTTGCGGCACTCATTGTTGGCAAGACAGACGGGACGGTGGATTTCTTAGCTGTGGATTCCGCTTCACCTATTGTGGCCTCTGTTGGGCACACCGACGGTGTCTTGAGCCTGGCTCTTGATACCCTGGAAGAAGGTGCCACGTGGGTCGCCGTAGGCTACCGGGACGGCAGTGTGAAGATCTATAACACAGAAACCCGAAAATTGGTGCGTCGCTTTTCACAGGTTCACGGTAGTGGTGTGTTGTCCCTCATCTTTGCAGGCGCACCAAACCCCGCCCTCGCGGGCCATCACGCTTGGGTCGTTTCTGGCTCCTTTGATGGTGTGATCCAGGTGCTCGACATCCGTGAAGGGAAGTCACTGCAACGGATAGCGGATGCACATCAATCCAAGTATGTGCTTTCACTCTGCTCGTTGATGGGAAAGACCAGGGGCGTGGTTTCTGCTGGAAACAATGGGATGCTTTGTTTTTGGTCCGTGTCTAACGCGGGGTTGAGGCAAGCTGGACCAGCCCGTGCGCTTCGATCCATTCATACCTCACTGAAGGAGGAGCTTCCTATGCGGCTGCTGCCCGTGGAGGATAAGGAGGCAGAGGGTGAAGTGTTGGTGCTGACGCGTGGACAGCAGGCCTTGCTTTTGAGTGTTTGTTTCACGGGTGATGCCACAAATCCGGTCGTGGTTTCGATGCACTGCAGCATTTGTATCCCGCGGCCGGTGCATGCGGGGTGTCTGCGCGTCATCCAAACCCCCGCCCTCGCCACCCCACTGCTTTCGCTCTTTTTTACGGACCGTGAGGGGACGATCCTCCTCTACAACGTGGAGATGTCGTGGCGGTTGCGTGGGGGAGCTGCAACCGGCGGGTGTAGGATGGAACTGCGTCCTGCAGATGAGAGCTCTGTCGTGGTGGTGGACCACGGAGAGAAGGTGGAGGACTTAAATGTGGTCAACATCCTTGGCACCTCCACTTCACTACTTGCCTTTTCTCCCTCCCTCTCCGCTATGTACGTTCTCTCCTGGAGCTAAGCTGACAGGCGAACTCGCTGTCCTCGTTGAGACGAGGATGCACAAGGAGAGACTCACGTAGACTCGAAAATAGGGCCAATGACACGGAGCGGGAATGCGCCGCCCCTTTCTCTTTATTCTCTACGTACTGTCTACATGTGTGGGCTGCTGCCTCTCTTTAAGGCGTTCTTCATCTACGCTTGCACGTTATTTTGTTGTTGTTTTTTTCCTTTTTTTTCTGCGCATGTGTGTCTTGGTAATGTGGACAAAATTAGTAGCGTACAGGGCATAGTTGTTGTTGTTATTTTGTTTGTATTTTTTTTGTTTTATACTCCTGTTGAATAGTCTCCTTCATGAGCTACAGGTACCTCCACGACGATAGACAGCAGTTTCTCAACGCGATTGGCACCGAGTTGGCGTGGGGATGGTCTCCTGCAATTGATTTCACTGAGGTGCTGGAGCGGCGGGAGAGAGACGCAGGGGAGGGTGACGCGGAAACCAAAGAGGAGCAAGCGGAAGGCAAAACCGCGACAGAGACTCAGGCAAAGGAGGACGCTGAAGCGGATGCTGACATGGATGCCATGATTGCGGCGATACAACAGCGAACACCGGCTGGAGCAAACGAGGGGGAGGACGGTAGCAACACAGTGCGTGTTCTCCTCTGCGGGGCCTGCGATATTAGACACATCTTTCGCACTCTCTCCAGTCTACACGTAAAGTCCAAGTCCACCACGCAACCGTCGCCGGTGTACCACTTCTACGTTTATGAACCCAACTTGCGAATACACTGTCGCCACCTCTTTTTCCTGCAGTGGCTGCTGGACAGCATGTTCTCCCTGGATGAGCTGGAGGAGCGTGTATTGATGTTTCTTGATGTGTTTGGTAACGCCCTGATGCGCGATGCCACCTCTGCCCAAAGCCGAGGCGTGTCTCAGCGGTTGTTGCGCGTGCTTAGAAACGAGGACGGTGAACTTGCCAGACTTGTCTCCTTTACCGAGATGAAGTTCAAGGAGCGTGACTTTGTGGAGGAGCAAATTGTGCATTGGGCCCAGGATACCTCGCGGGCAAACATCGAGGAGTCGTGGTCGCGGCGTGTGCGTCATGAGATGGCAGAACGCTACGACAACCGCGATAATGTTATTGACTGGGACTTTAATTTTTATCTTCGCGACTACACAAATCTTATCAAGTTTGCCGAGTACCGTACGTGGCGCAATACGGGCATTGCCTTTGATGCAGCCCATATCAATCCTCGCCGGGGGTTTACGTACACTTACTCCGTTCCAAATAAGACGCTGTGCCACTTCAACGCAAAAGGGGTTGGAACGTACCTTGGCGACGTGAAGAACGGTCCCTTCTTTGCGCTTGGCGCTCAGACGGCAAACACGCACATTCGTGCAAAGACGATTGATGGGACATGCAAGTACGGTAATGGTGTTGTCTCTATGCATAATGTGCGGGCGTGGCTGTACGGCCTCCTGACGGGGCATGCTTGGCCATGGAGTGATCATGCCTTTGCCTGGGACGACCCCGTGAACTACAACCATCTGCCTCCAGGGACGCCCAGCGACGTTACCCAGCAGGCAACCTTTCCGAGGGCGCAATTTCACTTTATCGGGCTGGACTTCACACGTTTCACACAACATATGCGGGGGAAGAGGAAGCAGAATAAGTTTGACTTGGCGTTTGTGGGGACGAGCTGCACGCAGTTTATGTCACCGGACTTCTTTGAGTGCACAATGTGCAGAGATGCGGTGGTCGTGGCGGAGACGGCGAAGTTTGTCATTGATGCCCGCGACGAGGCCAAGGCGGCTTTTGTGAACAAAATTCACGAAATGGCCAAGGCGGCGAACTGGGAGCAGAACGATGCTCTCACGAATCTGCTGCATGCGGATCAGCCTGAACCGCCAAAGTGCGATAAGGACTCGCCCGGCATGAAGGCGCAGAAAATAGCCCTGGAGCGTCACCAAATGCCGTACCAGGTGGCCTTGACACGCGCTCCAAGGCGTCCGGAGACGTGACCAAAAGGAGACAAAGTGTGGCGAGAGAAATAAATGCGAAAAGGAGATGGATGCGACGAAGACATGAGTACACAACGCTGAAAATGATCTTTGCGTGCCTGTGTGTGTGTGTGTGTGTGTTATTCATTTTACCGTTGTTGGATTGGATTCGTTTCTTTCTTCTCTCTCTCTCTCTCTATATATATATATATATATATCTGTGTGTTTGTTTGTCTGTCTCCGTGCATTTTCCTTGAGTTGCCGGCATTGTTTTTTTTTTATTTTCCACCGCAGCTGGCAAAGTCTTTATGTTGGATTCCATAGATATAAACCTCCGCGATAAACCGGCGGCAGCCACCGCCACCAGCTGGTTTGATGCAATCAGCACAAACTTCCACGCCGCGGCAGCAAAAGAGCGTGGCTACGACCCTTTTTCTTTCATCTCGTCACAGCGCCCCGATGTGACGGAGCTCACGCCATCCACGATTCGCTACAACGAAGACAGCACCACCTCACCGCGGAACGTGTTTAGCGCCACCCAGTCACCCATTGAGCCGGCGCGCGAGGACCTCCAGGCCCAGCTGACGGACGTGACTCCCAGTAAGCCGACCTCGCACGAGGATACGCTGGCGATCAACTCGACCCCAAACGCGGCAACCTTGCAGCGCTCCAGACACGTTGATCTTTACGACGACGCCATGCGGGCCAAGCTGGCAAAACGGCAGTGGGCGGCGGTGGAGCAGATGCGACAGATGATCTTGGAGAAGGTCAAGGTGGAGCGGGAGTGCCCATTTAAGCCGAAACTATCACCGTATGCGGTGAAGATTCAACGCCCCGCCGAGCTGGCGCCGCAGAATCGGGTGTACGATGAGCTCATGCGGAAGGAGGAATGGCGGGCAAGGAAACGGCAGGAACATATTAGGCGAGAGCTGGAGGGGTGCACATTTCGCCCACTAACGCTTCGAGCCGCCAAGTTGAAGTCCTCTGCTCACACGCATGATTCTCACGTTTTCAGTGAACTCTACAGTCACGATGAGGAGCGGAATCACTTTGTGCGGGAGGTGCAGCCCTACGTTGTGGAGCAGCTGGAGCGCCACATGCTGTTTAAGAACCCGTCCAACAAGCCTCTGCCGGAGGACAAGATCAACGCTGTGGTGGAGCGCCTCTTTTCTTGCAGTGTTGTAGTGAACCCAGAGGAAGGCACGCGGCGGCGATCGCAGAGTCCATCGCCTCCGTTTAAACCAACAGTGAGCGTCAACTCGGCGCGAATTGTTGCGAAGCAGCGCGAGGGCGGAAACGTCAAAGAAAACGTGGTGGAGCGACTTCTGCAACCCACTGCCCATTTAAAGCCCAGCGAACAACTGCGTCAGCAGACTGCGAGCAAACAGGGAGAGGAGGAGTTGGAGTTGATGCGGTCGGAGTACGTCCGGAGGTTGCAGGGTTTGCTGCAGCGTGAGCGTCGGCGGTCGATTATTGCGGCCAAGTTTGAGCTGCTGTCAGGCGCCATAAACAAAGAGCGGCAGAGCCGTGAGGGCTCGCAGCGGTGCGTGACGGAGCACTCTGCGCAGGAGCTTGTGAGGGCGGGTGCGGTGATGCTCTCGTCCGCCGAGGCGCAAGAGCTTTGCAGCATCCTCGCAGCCAGTGGCGCGGGCAGGCTGAATAAGAACGGCTTTATTGCCCTTTGCACGGCTGCCGTGGAGGGGCTCCCCAATCCAGGTGTAAGTCCCCTCGGTCGCGCGCCTCCCCCGCGGGCACCGACAATGGGGGGCGGCCTCACAGACGCTGACCGTGGAGTCCAGGACGGTGCACGAAGGACGACCTTTAGGCGTGAGATTCCATCACCGGAGGAGCTTGAAAAAATGCGGGCCCGACGTGAGGAGCGAACGCAGCAAATGACGGAGGAGGAATATCAAAAACGTCAGGCAATGATGGAGGAGGAACAGCGCCAGTGCACATTCCGCCCACCTCCCCCACGGCGGATACCAAAAGAGTGCCACGTAAATCACACCGTGGATGTGAAGACGACCAAAGCGGCCGCCCTGCGTCGAGCTTACATTGAGAAAAGACTCGAAGGAGAAGAACACGCTGGAGGAACGGCTGCTGCGTTACCGCTGGCCTCTACAAAAGACCTCTTTGGTGCTGCTGCTGGTGCTGGTGGGGCTCATACAAGGGCGAAACTCCCGCAAAGTGTAGCTGCTCACTCTCTCCTGGCATCGTCCAATCCTCGCACGAAGCCGTCTTTTGCGGGGCCAATAGTGGAAGCATCCCCCGCAGCTAAGGCACCCTATAAGCGTTGTAGAGGGGGAAAAGCACACCGAAGCTACACCGGCCACGGTGAGGGTTTTTCGACGCGCAAAGATCATTCCTCCCGTAGCGTTCCTGCAGTCGCATCTGATCGCAGCTCGGACGACGCTGCTGCCGCCTATCCCAGACCTCGAAAGATGCGGACTCGCGAATCTGTTGCAGTTGCAGAAGCGCCATCTCCACGTGTGTATCGCGATGTCGTTTCTGAGCACGCAGCTTTTGGCCGCGATGGAGCCCTCTCGGAGTTTGGTCGAGAGCTTATTCTACGACAACTTCGAGAGTATAGAGATAGGCGGTAGTATTCGCCTGTTTTATTTAGTTTTTTTTTTTTACGTCTTTGCGCTTTGTTGTTGCTGTTTCCACTGTTGTTGTTTTCCCGCTTCGATATCATAATATATATATTATTATTATTATTATTATTATTATTATTATTATTATTATCTGCGTGTCTATTTGGAAAGGTAAGTAAATCTATAGATAGAAGGTGTATATATATATATATATATACCCCATAGAGGCAACTACGCACTTCCTGTGTTTTGAGGGAGGGGGCGTGTTCTTTTGCAGTGGAATTACTGGGAAGTGTGGGCCTATGGCAACGGACTGAAATCCCAAATGAAACAACATCCAGGCATTTGAATAAATGCATATATATATATATATATATTAAAAGAAGGTGGAGAGGGAAAAGCGAAAAAGAAAGAAAAAAAAAGATAAATGGTGGACTTTGTTGCATCCTTGAACATAACCCGCACCCGTATTGCAATATGTGTGTTGTTTTGTTTCTTTGTTTTTCTTGTATTTTCGTTGATTCTCGCGTGTTGTGTTTTTTGCCCACCGACTCCATCGTTTGTGTGAGGGAGTTAATTAACAGTACAGAAAGCTGGCGGAAGCTGCGGGTGTGAAACTCTCCATGATCTGCAGGGATACGTTTGGCGGCGGCAGTCCCGCGGGCCCATCACCAGGCCGGCGCGAATACGAAATTATATGCGCCCAGCTGGAGAACATCTTGAGTGAGGCCTGCAGTGAGCCCCCCTCCAGCGAGCATTGTGTGTTCATCGAAAAGCGTATTACTGAGCTCCAGGGCGCCCTTGAGGAGGCGGAGCACTGCATTCGTGAGAAGCAGCGTCTTGCGAGGGAGGGACGGGAGAAGCGGCTTGCCGATCTTCAGCTGCGTCGGCTGCAACTCTACGAGGAGAAGATGGCTCAACTCAGGAAGGAGTTTGAGCGGCGACAAAAACTTGTCCTTGGACAGATGGAGGAAAAACGTTTTTACTACAACCAAAGAAACGAAATTGTGGGTGAGCGAATAAAGTCGTACAAGAACTCCGCCCTGAATGCACAGGCGGTGCTGGTTGAGAAGGCGGAGGCAGAACGCGAGAAGCGGGAGAAACGTCTAGCCCGCCTAAAAGAAGAGCGGGCACGCAGCATCCAGAAACACAAAGAAAAGGCGCGGCTGCGTATGGAGCACTCCCGCGAAGTTGTGAAGTACCGGAAGCAGGAGGAAGAGGCCGCAAGGCGTGAAAAAAGACTTGCGTATATGCGTCACGAGGAGGAGATTGCAAAGCTACAGATGGAGGCTGACGTGCCATGGCAGCGAGAGAGCGGCACGCGCAACTTTGTGCGGTGTCTTTCTCACAACAGAAGCGCCACGGACGATGGCGTCAGCAAGGCGACAACGCGGTACAAACCCCATGAGGCGCTTGTGAAGGAGTTGAAGGAGAAGGAAGAGCGGCAGAAGGCGCGGTACGAAGAGGAGAAGGCTGCCCGATTATACGAAATACAGCTTCGAGCCCACACACGCAAAAATCGCATTGAAAGACAGCGAGAAAATTATATGGCTCTACTTGATAAGCGAGTTCAGCGCAACGAAGATATCATAAAGATGGCACGTGAAAAAAGACGACGCGGTGAAGCTGCGAAGAGTATTCGTGAGGCTCGAGGTCAAGGGGTGGGTGAATCTGTTACGCGTGATTTAGAAGAGCACCGTAAGCGAGCAGAGGACCTCGAGCTCCAGCGCCGCCAGGAGGCTCTGGTCAAAAACTATTGTAGATGGAACGATCGGGCAAATCGCGTCATTATGCAACTACAAAACGCCATCCAAGCGGATGATAAAATACGGCCTCTGAGGAATCGAAAAGAATTGTTTCTGCCAAGGATACCCTTCGTTCACGGCCTATGACCAGCCGCAGTGCTGGTATTCTTCCTTGCAGAGGTATCGGTTGTACCCCGGTCTCATGCGCTACACGGCTTGGGCACTATTCCTTATTAACGGCACTTTAGGGCATGAGCTATGGGAGTCCGCGTGATTGCTTGGCCTCCCTAAAAGGGCATAAAAAATGTATGTACATTATTCCGTGCTTGTTGCTGCCGTAAAGTGGTGGGAGCGGAGGAACGACCTCCGCAACCGATTTTTTCTTTGGAAACGACGGGGAAAAAAAAACACACACACAAACCAACAACAGAAAAGGAAGAAATGGTCGAATTTAGTCCTCTTTCTCTCTGGGTATTTATTTCTCTCTTGACTCATCGGTACGTTTAAGGGCGTCCTGCTGCTTGGAAGAAAAGGAGTTTATATATATGTTGTTTGTTTGTGTTTTGCTTTGAGGGGGTGGAAGAACACGAAGAAGACGGTTTTGTGGTGGTGCCTACCTGCGCCTGCGCCTGCGCCTGCGTTTGTGTGTGTTGATGTTGTCGTTTTTGTCTTTTCTTTTTTTTTTCCGTTTATCGGCTTTCGCACTGTTGGGCTTTTTTTTTTTTTATTATGCAGAGTATATTTTTCTCACTGACAGAAACCTCTCAAAGAGAAGAAATGAAAAACTTTCTGACTGGAGATGGACGCTCAGTAGAAGATGGTCGTTTGTTTGTTTTTGTTGTTATTGCGTTGCTTTTATGTTTTCTCTTGATTTCTTTATTTGCCTTTTTTTTTTTTTTTTTTACTTCCCCCCCAACACCCCTTCCAAACGATGCCGCGGGGGAAGTGCGATGTATGTTTTTCTGCCCTCTGCTGCCCTCTACGCGGGGGTGTACAACAGTAGCGGGGCCCCTACGGGTTGCCGCTTCGTTTGTTGTCAATGAGTCCAGCTATCATAAAGGCGATTTTTGTATTCTTCTCTTAACTTGTGTTGCATATGTGTTTGTGAGGTAAATTGTGTTTTAAGTGGGGGGGGGGGGGGTGCTGGATACATGGAACTAACCTGTGAACCCCTTTGCTGTCCTTTATCCGCTTGTATAAATAAGAGGGAGACTGTCTCTTCCATCCAACGTCTTCCATGTAAGGCATTGTTGCAAGGCGTTCATAGGGACCACCCAAATCCTCCTCTTTTGGGGTGGGTTTAAAACGAGTCAAACACCAGGAACAGGATTTGTGCTTTTTTGTACCCGCATATGTACCCATCTGACTACGATATATATATATATATATATATATATATATATCAATGTGGCTGGATGTTAGTGCACGCTGTTGTGTTGTGTTGTGTGTATTCGTGCCGTTCACTTCCTTATGATTCCTCCGCTTCTGTAATGTGCCCCTTTCATGCGTGCGTGTTCTTTCATGTTTGCGTTATTGTTTTTTTTCCGTCCTTGTCGCGAAGTTCGTGTCCTCTTGTGAGTTCAAGCAGCCAACAACGAAGCATCAAAAGACACACACACACACACAAGCATACGAAATCAAAAAAAAAGGGGGGAGCAGATTGCGAATTCATGTTAGCGAAGCCGTCTGTGGATATCTTCTCAACAGTTGCAGATGCCGTTCTCATTCCCCCCTGCTCAGTTTTGCTAGCATCTAGCTTTTCCGGCTGCATTCTTAATGTATTGTTTAATTGTCTTCAATACAAGGACAACCTGAAAAGAATCTTTCATGTTAGCACAAAATTGTCACAGAAGACTGATGGCATTTGCGACGCTACTACCGAGCTCACACCAATAGAAATTGATCCTTTGCTTGGGCACTGGACCTCAACGTTGGGGCCTTACAAGAGAGAGTTTTTGAATGGTTGTGAAGCAGCTGCTGGTGCATCTCCACCTATGCCGGTGGTATCAGTGGTAGACAGCACGCTGCTAGAGTCCTTTCAGTCCGTGCGCCTCGAGGCACAGCGTATGGTGTTTGTGTACAACCCAACCTACATGCTCATAGCATCGGCAAAAAGCTTGGTCATGCTGTTGGTGCTGCAGTACCACTATGACTACGGGGGAGGGTGGGAGCGCTTTGTTGTGTGCTCCGCAGCAAACTTGATGAGCGGACTGCTGGCCCCCGTTCTGGAGTACGCCACAAGATGGCTACTCCCGCTAGACCACGAGAGTGGGGCGCCGGTGGTAGTTGTGGAGCCAGAGGAGCCAGCAGACGCGGTGCTCATTGTGGAGGTGCTTGGCCACATTTCCAGACTGGAGCTGGAAGATCTTGGCACGGTGATGATTCAGGGAGTCGCGTTCATCGTCTTTGGTGCCGTCCTCCTTCCCGCGCTGCTGGTATTCTGTTTGCCCGGCTTGGCCTCTTTTCTATGGGTGTTTGTGCCTTTGTGGGCGCTCCACATGGTGGTGCGCCGCCTTTATTATAGGTGCACCTATTCCACGATGCAGTCACCGCCTAGAGGACGGATAAGTCGACGCTTAACCCCAGCCGCCGAATTTGCGAAGGCGGCGCTGCTGAAGGTTCTGACGCTTTTTATGCTTCAGTGGTCGGTGCAGTGCAGCTTTTTGTTTGGGTTAATCCTCCTGAAGGGCGGGGGATATAACGAGGCCCTTTACATTGAGGTCAAACATCAGTTATGGGGATGTTATGATCCCCTTAATATGACGAGCTTCCAATGGTTCTGCTTCGCAAGCCAAATCCTTTTTTGAATGATTGTTTAAACTAAAGGAGGAAGTTATTCATTTTTGTGATTGACGTTGTGCAATATTTATTTTATACGAGGCGTTCATACGGCCAGGGTGAGACTTGGTTTTGGGTGGCAGTTGGGGGCTGTGGGTTGATGATGATGTGTGCGTGTTTGTTTATTTTATCTGATGCGGGGTCCTTTATTGTTGCTTTTTTTTTTGTGTGTGTATAGGAGGCTTCCGTGGCTGCAAGGCGTAGATGCTGCGTACACGGCGTCCGTTGCCGTTACGTCGACGAAGCGACGGGTGGCCTGTGCGCTTTTATTCGTTAACACGAGGACTCCGTCAGGTGCAGGGACGTGAGCGTCTCATTTTAGGCACCCACGGGGCAGGCATTGTGCAGCATACTTCGGTGGCGCAACCTTCCGCCGCTAATTTTCCGAACTCTGTGACGGTTGCGGCTCCGGCGGCGGATTTGTTCCGCACGAAAGTGCATGAAGGGACTGGAACGGGTGAGAAGGACCCGTATGTGCGGACGTTGCCCAACCAGGTGAGCCGAGAGCCGGAATCTACCGTCTCGCAGGCCCATAGCACTGTGGCCCCCACCGTAGACGAATGCACCACACTTGACAGAAGATGGGAAAGTATGCAGTACTGGTTTAGCGACCAATACCCTCGGCTCATAATTTATTTGCAGCAACTGCAAGTTCCTGATGTACCACCTTTGTCTTCTGCGGCGGAGTCTTTACTGTCGCGGTTTGAAGAGGTTGGATTACCAAAGTTGGTCTCTGAGGGCGTAGATCGACAGCAACTCATAAAACTATGGAAAACGCTAACAGATGAGGTCAATGCACTGCAATTGCAATACCTTTGTGATCGTTCCACGTTTGAATCGAAATTGTCACATATCTGTAAAGAGGCTTTACAGCAGATGCAAAGCATGTCATCAGGTGGAGTGGAAGGTGCCCTGGCAATTGAGGCGCTACGACGCCAAACCATTTTGCGACGCAACGATTACATTCAAAAGCATCTGATTGATGTCATGAGTAACGGGGCCTATTTTGGCTTTGGGGACGCCGTGTGGCAAGTCTTTTTCCACGCAGTGAAGACTCACAAGGCGGCTCTTTTTGGTGACAGCACACCCGAATCGCTTCGTTTTGCCTGGGAGTCGGTGATGCAGGAAGATGTGGTGCGTGTTCCCGATGTGACGGCCCCAGTTGCGCTCTTTTTAACGCTTGTGTGCATCCATGAGAGCAACGGACTGGCGTCAGGGGAGTGGAAGGAGTCGGCATCAAGCCTGAGCGATGGCATTCGCTCCTCGCACGCGGTACAGGGTCGCCCCCATCTGGAGCTGCTTAACCCGGTGGTGAAGCGCCGTTTTGTCGCTAGGACAGTGGAGGCGCTCTTGCAGTCCCCCACTTCTAACAACTTCTCCAAGCTGCTTCGGGAGCACGGGCTGCACGACCTCAGCCGTGACGTCTCCCTTTGCGAGGCGATGAACAGTAATCAAAAAATTCTTGAAGACGACGTTGCGGATGCAGTGGCGCGCTTTGAAAGCAGGGGTGAGGTGAAAACCCTGCTTTCGTCTCTCACGGCGGGAACCGACGCTGCCGTGCGTGACACGGTCGCCAAAATCCTAGGCATCTCCGTCACCACCACCATGAACTGGGATGCCGTGATGCAAAGCGTGGACTGGACAAACAACTGGCGGCGGTTGGCGACAATGCTGCTGTGTGACCAGACCGTGCTGGTGGCCATTCATAAGCTGGTTCAAAACGCGATTGGCGCCAAGGGCGCGTCACGCCACTTGTTCTCCGACGAGTACGTGGATCAGCTTCAAGACATCATTGCGATACGTGAGGAGCGAGAACTCAACAAAAAACTTAAGATAGATCGCATCTTGAAGGAACTCTCCTCCTATAAGAATGTGGATCAGACGTGTGAAATTATCCGTCAACTGGGTGTGGATATGACAGAGCTAGACCACGCGGCATCATTGATACGAGACAAGGGACTTGTGAGGCGGCCGGCTATGGATGAGAAGTTGATTGCGTGCGTGCTGGAGGCAGTCGCTAAGCGCCACCCAAACTGGGTGCGAGCTGGTGTGATTGACCCCGCAGCCATGAAGGATTCCATGAGTGCACTAAGATATATGCTCTTTATTTTCATACGCCTTGCGTATGTTCCTCAGTCGGGCTTGGCCGCGATGGCGCAGCGATCTCGGCGTCGCATTGGCCCCATTGGACTGGAGCCATTCCAATTTAACGTTCCCACAGAAGTGGGTTTTGTCGAGCACTACAACAATTTGCAGTACAAGCGGTATGACTGGCAGGGCTGGTACCAGCGGATGGTGGACGTGCACAACCGCAACGTTTCCCTGCGCTGCCGCATCCACGACCTCAAGCGTCTAGATGCCAATGGTGTGCCTTTTGTGGACACGCAAACCGAACGTCGGCTGAGGATCCTGGCGGGCGGACGCGTTGGCATGGGGGTGTTGATGCTGGACTCCGACAAGTACGAGGATCAGGCAGATAACATGACGTTTGGCTCGCTAAAGCTCTCGGAGCTCCTGGCGGACGCGCGGAAGGCACAACTGGGCGAAGAGTACTGGCCCTCCGTCGAGCTAAAGGTGCGAAAGCCTAGTGGTCAGAGTAAGGCGCACTACTCCCTCATTGACCATGATCGGATTGAGAAGCGAAGCCGGGAACTCTACGAGAAGTATCGTGAAGCGAAGAAGAAGAGCCTGTTTGTCACACCTATGGACATGTGGTTGGAAGTGAAGGGTGTACAGGTGCGCAAGGCCTCCGATGGTGCCGACGCGCATGGCTACACTGTGGATGCCTTGCAGGATGCGCTGGACAGCGATGACGCCGAGAAGCGCTAGGTGTTCACTGTGAGGAAAGATGAGGAATGACGGTAAAAAAAAAGGGGGTGGGGGAAGGAGAAAAGAAAAAAAAAGCATCTGCAACAATCCACCCACACACATACGAAAACAAAAAATGAGAGAGGGAGAGAGTACTTTGAAGGAGATGGCGTGAAGGAAGAGGCGCGGCGTCGCCATCACCAATTTTGTTTTGTGGCGGAAATCCAGCCCTGGTTCTCACTGCTATGATTGCTGTGAGCTAGCACTATTCCTTTGACTTCCTTTTTTCTTATACCACCTTCCTCTTTGGTCCTTCTTGTGGTTATTTCATTATACTGAGGTGGAAAAAACGAGGACTGTAGACAGACGGGAACCAGTGGGTATCTTCTTACTCGCGAGGATAGCGAGTAAATGGCGCAGTATGAATCCGTATGTGACGGCAGGGAGGCTGCGTTGAGGCCTTTCACTACTTTTGGTGATCATCCCCGCTTTGATGCTGCGCAGCTGCCAGGGGTATCGCGACTACTGCACCATGAGGTGCGGGAGCAGCAGCTGATGGGCCACCTTCTTCGTCTCAAAGAGCTTCAAGTGGAACTAATGTTCCTTACGGAGAGGAGCGCACAGTGTCTGCTGACGCAGAGCCGCGCACACATAGCCGCGCAAAAGCACAAAGAGGCGGCCGCACGCAACCTCGCACTACGACACAGGCTCCAAGAAATCCTGAGCGCGCAAACAGCCGCAAGCCCTGCGGAGGACGCGCGCTCCACACTGGGGCTGCAGTCTTCTTCTTACGTGTCATATACCGACGTTGTTGCCGTGTGTTCGTTAACGGGCATCTGCTCTGCAAGCGTCAAGGACGTCCACAGCCTACTTAGGAGATTGATGCTGCGCATCGTCGGGGGCAATTCCGCCTGCTCCACCATTTCATCACTGATGGAAACCTTGTCATCTTGGCTTCAGTCCAACTACGTTGCCATTTTCCTTCCGTGTTACGTTCCAATGACCTTCATCCTTGCGGCGTCGCAGCTGCAACGCTCTGCGGACGACAAAATGAGTGAATCTGCCTTGTACGTGGCACAGCAGGTGCAGCATCAGCGCGAGCAGCGTAAGCGCGAGCAGCAAGCACGGCAAGCACAGTTACTTAGAGCCAAGGAACGTCTTGAACGAGCAGAGCAGCACGCATTTTCAGTGCGCAAGCGTATCTTTCTGCTGTACGAATGGGTCACAGGAAAGCGACGTTTACCGACTGGACAGCTCCTGAACTCCGTCATATGCGCTGAAGTGATCCATCGCATACGAGCAGACCTGGTTGTGGGGGAAATGGACTTCCTCCTACAACTGGCCGCTAACAATGGAAGCGCCCTACTCAACACCACAGCACACAACTCGTTCTTACCATAATTGTTTGTACACCCCTGAAATACATCTACGACAAGCGCGGATTGGCAGTGTGCATGCTACATTGGTGCAACACCAACACGATTTGCATTCACAATCACGACGAGGCTGCGCCAATATGGTCACCACATACATTGTCATTTTACTTATGTCAAAACCAGGAATCCGAAGAGGTACAACAAACACAATGCCCTTCCCCGACGCTTGGCGCGACGAAGAATACCTAGAAGGCCTAGCACGAGGTTAAGGCGCGCTGCACGGCGGGGCCCGGCACGGATGCACCCCGGTGTCGCGGATGATGGGGAGGGGGGTGGGGGGTGACGAGACCTCGGACTCGGCAGCTGTCGCCGAGTTGTGCGCGCACTTCCAGGGAGGCTGACGGCCTCCGCTACCGCGGGCGAACCGCAGGAGGAGAGTTTTGGGTGTTTTTTCATGCTCTTTGTTTTTGATGGTGGTGTCTGCTGGTGGGTTGCTGTTCGAACTGCCGGGGGGGGGGGGTGTGAGGGGCAGATAGTTTGTACGTTTCCATTCTCCATCGTTCATTCCTTTTTTTTTTTTTGTCATATCATTTCATTGCCTCCTCGCATGCCTTTTTCGGTGGCCAACTGACGTTGCGCGTGGAGACATGTCCCCCATGTCATGCGGTTCGGCGTGAGCCGCCGTTGTGGGTGCGTGTCTCGGTGCGTCCTTCACATGTGCTGCTTGCTCAGTGGTGCCAGCAAGCACGCGTTGGCCACTTTTGCTGCACACGGAGGTTGTTAAGTTTCTGTATTATCGTAGTGCCTGGTTGTCTTTGTACGGGTGTCCGCCGTTTCGTGTGTGTGTTTTTGGCATTTGCGTGTAGGTGAGGTTTATGTGTTGTTGCCTTGCCGGTGTTCGGGCTGCTCTTTCTCCTGTGTGTTTGCGTCATGCACTTGGCATGGTTTTTTTTTATTGTTTGCTTCTTTGGTTGTAGTCACACTTTCCGCTACCTGGGCCAAGGTTACCGTTTTCTATTGCTGTTTTGCTGCTGTTGTTTGTTCGCCGTGTGACGATTGTTGTTGGACGCTTTTGAAATGACGGGTGCGAGCCACGAAGCTGGCGGCGACGGTAGAGACGTGCAATCGTACGAGTTCCGCATTGCCGCAACGTCACCTCGTCCTTCCCAGAGTGTGGTGGAGCTGGCACTGTCTTCGCTGCCTGGGGTGTCTGTGCTCGACGTCACCGTCAGGGAGGAGGATGCGACGATTGTCGTAAAGACGCCGTGGACGCGTGAGACGCTCGGGAGGAAGTTTTACGACGCCATCACCGCACTTGGCTATGTTATTGCCGTAGATGCTCCTGTGGAAAGCCAATTTCTTATTGAAGGCATGTCATGCGTGTCGTGTGCTGCACGGATTGAGTCCCACGTGCGGAGTCTGCACGGTGTGGAGAAGGTGACGGTAAACTTTGCGACGATGACTGCCCTCATTCTGCATCATTCTCAGCTGTTGACGACCAGAGATTTAATGAACGAAATTGGTGGTATGGGATACCGTGTTAGGCTGCGGTGGTTACGAGGAAACAAGAACAAGTCGCGAAGAAGTTCTTCAGGTTTTATTGAGCAGAAGCTGATTATAGGTGGGCTATCATCAGCGGAGTCTGCGGCATGGGTTCAGATGTACATCCAGCGCTTAAGTGGCGTAAAGGACTGCACCGTCAACTTCTTGACGGGGGAGTGTGTGGTGACGTTGGACCGGAAGGATGTTCTTCTGTGTGTCGGGGAGGCAATTGCCTCCATGGGATATACAGTCGCCGTGTCGGAGTTGGACTGCGCCTCAGATGGGGTGTTTGTTGATGATATGCGGGAGGCCTTGGAGCGAACAAGAGAAATTGCAGAGCACAAGGCGCGCTTTGTGGGTGCCGCGGTGCTGTCAACGCCGCTGGCACTTGTTATGTTCCTCATGGCGACAACCAATGTGATGAATAACACGGGAAAGATGTTTTTGTTGGATCTTGTTCAGCTCTCTTTGACGACACTGATTGTTTTCCACTATGGTTCTGTGTTCTTTTACAATGCATGGCGGAGCCTGCGGCACGGGGAGAGTACGATGGATACGCTGGTTGTCATTGGATCTGGTTGCTCCTATGTATACTCTCTGGGGGCGTGTGTTATGATGCTTCTGACGGAGCGTCATTTAGTCACATATTTTGATGCCGCGGGTATGCTAATTACCTTTATGCTGCTGGGGCGTTTTCTGGAGGCGCAGGCAAAGCGCAGTACAAGCGATGCACTCATTGAGCTAATGAACTTGGCGCCGCCTGTCTCCATCGTTGTAACCGCGCAAGGTGACATAACAATACCGTCCTCGATGGTGGAAAAGGGAATGCGGCTCCGCGTGCTAGCTGGGGACCGGATGCCTGTCGACGGCACCGTTGTGGAGGGAATCTCAGATGTGGATGAGCAGATGGTGACGGGTGAGGTTGTCCCCAAGACAGTAGGCCCAGGTTCTACCGTGATTGGGGGGACAACAAACATGACGGCAATGCTGGTGGTGGAGGCAAACAAAATTGGGGATGAAACGATGCTGTCGCAGATTTTGCGCTGCGTACAAGAGGCACAGAACACCAAACCCGAAATTCAACGCATTGCCGACAGAATAGCCGCGTATTTTGTTCCTTTTGTTATCGGCTTTGCAGTGACTGTCCTTTTTATTTGGCTTTTTCTTGGTGCTTTCAATATGTACCCGCCGATGTGGCGCAGGGAGAAGGAGACCATCGTCATGTTTGCGTTTGAATTCTTCATTGCTTCCGTGGTGGCGGCGTGCCCCTGTGCCTTGGGGCTTGCAACGCCGACTGCCATCATGGTGGGTACCGGCGTCGGAGCGAAGACGGGGATTTTGGTAAAGTCTGGGAAAACGCTTGAGGCCGTGCACCGATCTCGCTGCATTGTCTTTGACAAGACGGGCACCATCACCAATGGGCGGTTGGAGGTTGTCTTTAGGATGTGCTGGGGTGACAACGTCGATGAGGTCATAAAGATGGTGGGGTTTGTAGAGCGGCTCTCAAGCCACCCTGTGGCAAAGGCTCTGGTCAAAGGGATTTCTGAGGTGGGCCCGGAGGTCGTGTACGATGTGGTGTCTTCTAAAACCCACAGTGGCCTTGGTGTTGAGGCCGTTATTCGTCGTGGACCCGCCGGAGCCGAGGTGCGGGTGCATGTCGGCAATTTTGCGATGATGCGGAGGGCCAAGGTGGAGGTTCCCTTAGAAGTTGAACAGGCAATGCGGCAGCAGAATAGCCAGGGCAGAACCATCGTTATCGGCGCCGTGGATGGTGTGGCGCGGCTTGTGGTTGCACTCGCGGACCAGCCCAAGGAGGAGGCTTCAAGGATCGTAAACGTTTTGTATCAACAGGGCATCCATGTACTATTGGTAACAGGGGACAACAAGAATGTGGCAGTGCGTGTGGCAAATACAGTTGGTATCCCACCCGAAAACGTCTACGCTGAGACGCTTCCGCCAACAAAAGCCAGCATAGTACGGCAACTGCAGTCGGAGGGTCACTGCGTCATCTTTGTCGGTGACGGAATCAATGATAGCCCGGCGCTGGCACAGGCTGATGTTGGGATTGCTCTTGGTGCTGGAACTCAAATCGCCATTGAAGCTGCGGATGCAGTGCTTGTAAGCAACAGCCTCGTTGATATCCTCAACCTGCAGGCTCTTTCCGTCGCTACTGTCCGACGCGTATACGGCAATTTTGTATGGGCATTTGGCTACAATTTATGCATACTTCCTTTTGCAAGCGGAATGTTATACCCTTTCCTCCATGTGAGGTTACCGCCCATACTGGCTAGTGCGGCAATGGTGCTTTCCAGCATAACTGTTCTTCTGTCCAGCCTGTCAATTAAGTGTTTTAGACCCTACAGGCCAGAGCAGTTTGTCCCGCCGTCACAGCAGTAGAAAAGGGTAAAAAGGAACAAAACAGAAACAGTCTATTATATCTTGGAAATTATATATTTATATTATCGATGAAAGATGAATATTGCACTAGTTTTAATTGTATTAACATGAGGTTTTAATATATATATATATATATATATCCACACCATATTATTGTCATTTCTTACTGATTTACGTTCCTTTGGAGTACAGTCATTTGAGGGGAGCATCATTTCTTTTCCTTTTGACGGTGGCCGCTGCAGTAAAGCTCGTAGGCAAAACAGCACTCACCACACAAACACAATGCCCTTCCCCGACGCTTGGCGCGACGAAGAATACCTAGAAGGCCTAGCACGAGGTTAAGGCGCGCTGCACGGCGGGGCCCGGCACGGATGCACCCCGGTGTCGCGGATGATGGGGAGGGGGGTGGGGGGTGACGAGACCTCGGACTCGGCAGCTGTCGCCGAGTTGTGCGCGCACTTCCAGGGAGGCTGACGGCCTCCGCTACCGCGGGCGAACCGCAGGAGGAGAGTTTTGGGTGTTTTTTCATGCTCTTTGTTTTTGATGGTGGTGTCTGCTGGTGGGTTGCTGTTCGAACTGCCGGGGGGTGTGAGGGGCAGATAGTTTGTACGTTTCCATTCTCCATCGTCCATTCCTTTTTTTTTTTTGCATATCATTTCATTGCCTCCTCGCATGCCTTTTTCGGTGGCCAACTGACGTTGCGCGTGGAGACATGTCCCCCATGTCATGCGGTTCGGCGTGAGCCGCCGTTGTGGGTGCGTGTCTCGGTGCGTCCTTCACATGTGCTGCTTGCTCAGTGGTGCCAGCAAGCACGCGTTGGCCACTTTTGCTGCGCACGGGGGATGCATGGGTTTACCGCATTGTTTTTTGTTGCGCATTCTTTTTTTTGTTGTTGTTGTTGTTGTCTGGTCTATGCCTCAGTTGCATTGTTCCTGTTTTTTAGCTCTCGGTGCAGCAGCTTTGTTTCGGGGCGTTGTGCGCGTCCGTCTGTTTTGATCTTCTTTTTTTTATTTTGTTGCTCTGTAGGAGTATTTTGTTTTTCTCCTTGTGACTGAAGTTGTCTGTGTGCGTGCGTGTGGGTCTTGTCGAGTTAGCGAGCACCGTTGACTGTGAAGCGATGACGAAGTACGAACTGAAGCTGCAGTACTTTGACGAGTGGATGCTGCGATGGCGAAAGTTCCAGACGGATTCCGATTGGGAAATTGAGAAGAACCGCCAGTGGTGGCGTCAGTGCAACATGGTCCTCACTGGAGCGTTGTTTGGGTCACTGGTGCTCTACACCGCGGGGACCGCTACGCTGAAGCGGCAGTATGGCCTTCCCCACTTCTTCGACGTTGGTGTGGACGCGCAGGTCAAGCAGACTGTGCTGGAGACGTTGACCTCGCGCTGGCGTTACACCCCGCAAGGCTACTTCCGTGTGTTGCTCACCGGGGTCCCCACCTACCTGCTTTTTGTTTCCCTCGAGCACCACCAGGAGAAACGGCGCATGCAGCAGTACGTGAAGCAGAACACGGTGTTTGGAGAACAGATGCGCCGCTTTCTCAACACCGGCAAAATTGAGGAGTACCTTGCGGTAAACATTAAGGGAACCCTTCCGCCCTCGCAGCGAAGTATTTACGCCTACTAGGAAAACAGACGAGGTCTTTAGCGGCCGTAGGTGGTACAGACAACATGGTGAGCTGGTGGTGGAAACAAGCAAATATATATATATATATATATAACTTTTTTAGTCTCCACGGAGGTGGGAAAGTTTTCCAGCTATAGCAGCCGTGTTTGGGGTGTGCTACCGCAGGCGTTGGACGCAGTAATTGATGTGGTGTACGTATTCTTCACCTTCTGTCTCTTTTTTCTTTTATTTTCCTGCGTTGTTGTTGCAACCTGTTTGTCCGCTACCCTGGCGCGCACTCGTAAGGGCTGTGCTGGCAGTGTGAGCGGTTGGGGTTGTGCGCGAGGGCGTGGATGAGGCGTTGTTGGGACGGATAGAAGTAACTAGGAGTATTCTGGGAAGAAGGCGGTGTCACTGTTAGCTGAAGGTTTTCTTTTGTAGGAATTTTTTGCCCAAGATGCTTCTTTTTTTTTTTTTTGCTTTTGTTTGTTCTTCAGTTTGTTGCGGTTTGTCTCCCGCCGTGAAGGATACCTGCTGCTGTTGTCATGGATAACTAAGTTTTTTGTTTTGTTTTGTTTTTTTTTGTTTCTGAGAAGGGTTGTTTGTGTCTCTGTTTCCTTTGTCAGTGAGGGCGGCTACGTCACGGGTTGGAGTGTGCTCTGCCGAAGTTGGGCGAAACCCAAAGGGCTACATAAGGAGGAGATCACCGCGTAGGAGCCGTTACCGCACGACATCTTTACGCGTTTGCGCATACGTGACACCCTCAGACAAGACACCACTGTGAGCGTGGACGGTGCACGTATTTTGTAACGAAGCAGTGCGCCAACAAGGTATCGTAGCACACACGCACACGCAAAAGAAGCAGAAGAGGAAAAGGGGAACAGGTGGAAGTAAATTCATAAGGACGCCGGCGGAAGATGCTACCAAAGGTGAATCCCATTAAGTCGGTGTTGGATCCTGCCACAGCAGAGACGCATCCGAAAGGGACAAATGTCAGCGGCAGCGTTGACATGGTGGAATGTGGGTCTTTGGCCACGGCGCGGCGTGAGAACACTAAAACTTGCGGAGGCCTCCGTAGCCCTGTACATCCTGCCTACACAGCCATGGAGCAGGCGGAGATGACAAACGTGGACGACTTTGCAGAGCAGCTTGAGGGATGTAATATCCAGGTGCAGGTTCGAACGCGCGGTACCGGTCGACGGTCGCCTCTTGTAGCCATGCTTACGCATTCAGTACGCGGTTCCCCTGTAGATTTATTAAATTCGTGCGGCAGTGGAATAAGTAGTCCCATGGTTGATGGTGCTCCTGGGGTTGGAGTGGAGCCTGCGTCGCGCACGGGGTTCAATACAAACGCATTACTGCAAGATCCATTACCAAGCACAGTTGTTCACCGTGCGTTGCATGGCAAATGTCGTTTCATTCAATTTCCTCAACTTGCACCCTTTGAACCACCGCCACAGCCGCCTGCGAGAACGACTTTTCCTCTTTTTGTTGGTCAAGTGCGGTTTGAGACAACACAGGCAGAGCTGATTTGGCTTATTCGGCGCACATCTGGTGCGTGTGTCCTCACAGTGGAAGGTCGAGGGAGTGGCTGTTTCATCATGCACCTGCAGAGCGAAGCTGAACGCGGGCTGGTGCGTCAGCTGCATAAACGCATTCTATTTGACATTGGTGGAGCCTGGTTTGCCCGCTCCTCTGAGGAGGTGGATGGCCTCTGTGAGTACGTGGCACTCAGGGGACCGTATCTGTCTAAGCAGGCGAAGCTGCCGCGGGACGCAATGGTGGTGGAGGACATCAAGGTGGATTCCACAGATATGGGCTCCTGTCATCCCTGCTGTTATTCACGCGGGACCTCAGTGCATTCGTTGAGTAGTGCTAGCACTACCTGGGAATCTCCTAACAACGCGTGGGTCATGACCTCGTCGTCGCCGCTGGCAACACCACTGCCGTGAATACCTCACGTCAAGCATGCGAGTATGTGAGATGTATATCGGACGTGTATTCCGCGAGCCACGCTGTGAGCATGCGTCACGGCAAATCATAGGGAAGTGTAATGAATCCGGAATGGGGGGAAGAATTAAAGAAAGGAAACGGGAGAGTGTGAAGATTCGTAAAAAGAAGGTGGCAAGGCAAAACAAGGAAAAAATAATAATAAGAGGAGTCAGCAACATGGGCCTTTTGAAGAAAATGATTGGGGTCCGGGACAAGGACTGTGTTTGTTTACGAGGTAGCAGGAACGCGCTGAGTATAGGGGAAATGCGACACACACAAGTAGCGTGGTGGGCCCGGCGTAAACCTTTTGCCGCGCGCTGCGCATGGGGTACATCGTTATGGGAAGCGACGGTCGCCCCTCTTGTTGGATGTGGGTTGCTCTACTTCATCCGCCTTGCTGTGCTCTGCAACCCGTATGCGGATTGAGACGGAAAATAAAACGCAGAAGTTGTTGAAAACAAAAACAAAGGCAGAAAAACAAAAAAGGATCACATATATATGCGATATATTTAAAAGCAATGCCTCGTTACATTGGTGGAGCAAAAAGAGAGAGAATAATAATAATAATAATAAGCTGAGAGGCTATATTGCCCTTTGGAGTTTGGAAAAATGGGACTAGCCTAGTATAGCACACGGGCACAACATGACGGAAGCGGTGGGGGGGGGGGATGAAAAAAAGAAAAAGAAAAAAAAGGTGTTGGAGGCGCAAAACGGAAAAAGAGCGTTCCGTAAGAGTGCTGTGTAACGTTTTTTTTTTTTTTTTGTCATCACTTTATTTATATATATTTTTGTTTTTATTGTTGTTCTTTTTCTTTCCACTATTTTCCCGATGTTTTGCTTTTATTTGTTTTGTGTTCTTTTTCTTTGCCTGCGCACCGAATTTATCTTCTTCTGGACAAGTGGATGGAACGACGCATACGACACTCTGCTGAGAAATGGCGGTAGTAATTAAAAGTGTGTTCTTAGTTTTCCGTTTTGTTTTTTTTTTTTTTTTTTTTTTTTTACNGTCGTTGTTTTGTTTTTTTTTTTTTTTTT